TGAGTAGGCTGAGGAAGAGGAAGAGAAAGCGTTGGTCTTGCTGTTTTAGGGGTGGCAGAGAGAGGTGGAGGAGGTCGAAGGGGAAGCAGTAAAGGGGAAGCACACTCAGTGTCACTTTATGGACATACATTATAATTTCTGTTTGACTTTTTGCTTTTTCATTTCTCTAGCAATGTTTCCATACAGTATCAATCCTTCTTCCACTCTTTGCTTTAGTTTCATTGCTCCTATCATAAAAGGTCTATGTTGTAAAAGAAGTCAAAAGTAGTCTTGAGTAACTGGAACCCTTCCGCCAGCTTGCCTAGTGTCAATCTGCTTTCTGACACTGCTTCTTCTATGTCTTCTTCCTCATCATCTGGTACTGGTTTGGAGGCACTCGTCTCCATCAAGTCATCTTCATTTAATGCCTCTGCTGTGGCATATATTAGGTCTTGAATTCTCCGAGATCCATATCTTGACACCATTCATCCCTCACCTTTCTTGTCATATCCACAAATCTTTCATGATTTCCTTGATGGGCTCTGTCATAAATCTGTGAAGTCATGCACAACATCTGGGCCAATTTACTCCAGCAGAAACTTGTTTCCAGCTTGATGGCTTTGACAGCTTTTTCTATGACAGCAATGGCATCTTGAATGGTATCATCCTTTCATGATCTTCTCCCTGTTGGGGTTCTCCTCCATAAAGCTGACCATCCTTTCCATAGAGTACCATGTGCAATCAGCCTTAAAGGTCCTTATGACCCCGACTAGTGGCTGAATTAGACACACTATGTTTGGGGGCAAATAGACCACTTTGACGCCTTTGGTGTTGAACCCATAGTGCTCTGGTGGCCAGGGGCATTGTTCGATATCAAAAGAACTTTTTAAAAGGTAGTCCCTTACTGGGTCTTGGGGAGAAAGTATTCATGGAACCAATCTAGGAAAAGGCTTCTTTTTTCCCATGTCCCTTTGTACAGCCAAAAGGCTGGCAGTGGGTGTTTAGGTTAGCAGCTTTATGGTTAAGGGCAGTATGGATCATAAACCCAACTGCATTGGCACAAAACAGTACAGTTAGCCTATTCCTTCCTGCCTTAAATACTAATAAAGTATTCTTATTAGTATTTGCTTCTCTTACTAATAAATATCTTTTGTGGCTTTTTTTTTTTTTTTTGAGACAGAGTCTTGCTCTGTCCCCTAGCCTGGAGTGCAGAGGCAGGATCTTGGTTTACTGCAACCTCTGCCTCCTGGGTTCAAGCAATTCTCCCGCCTGAGCCTCCTGAGTAGCTGGCATTACAGGCACCTGCCATCAAGCCCAGCTAGGTTTTGTATTTTTAGTAGAGACAGGGTTTCACCATGTTGGCCAGGCTGGTCTTGAACTTGTGACCTCAGGTGATCTGCCTCCTTGGCTTCCCAAAGTGCTGGGATTCAGGCATGAGCCACAGTGCCCAGCCTTTTTGTGGTTTTTTTTTTTTTTCAGGATAGGTTACTTTCATCTGCCATAAAACTTGTTTAGGCAGATACCATTTTTCTTCTCATTTTGTTAATGACATCTTGGAATTCATCTTCTGCCTCTTGGTCAGAAGAAGCTGCTTCTCCTGTTATCCGGACATTTTTAAAGCCAAACTTTTTTCTAAAATTATCAAACCATCTTTTGCTGGAATTAAATTCTCCAGCTTCAAATTTTTTACCTTCCTTTTGCTTTAAGTTGTCACATAATAGCTTTGCTTTTTCTCAAATCATATTAGAATCTATAGGTATGCCTTTCTTATAAAAGCTGCATTTTCAATACAAGACAAAAGATATTTTGCAGGCTAGGTGTGCAGCTCACACTTGTAATCCCAATGACTCAGGAGGCCAAGTCAGGAGGACCACTTGAGCCCAGGAGTTAGAGACCAGCTTGGACAACAGAAAAAGATTCCATCTCTACAAAGTTTTTTTTTTTTAAATTAGCCAGGCATGGTGGCATGCAGCTGTAGTCCTAGTCACTTGGGAGGCTGTGAGGCAGCAGGATCTCTTGAGCCCAGGAGTTTAAGGTTACCATGAGCTATGATCATGCCATTGCACTCCAGCTTGGATGACAAAGTGAGACCCTGTCTCTCTCTTTTTTTTTTTTTTGAGATGGAGTTTCGCTCTTGTTCACCCAGGCTGGAGTGCAATGGCGCGATCTCAGCTCACCGCAACCTCCGCCTCCTGGGAACAGGCAAGTCTCCTGCCTCAGCCTCCTGAGTAGCTGGGATTACAGGCATGCGCCACCATGCCCAGCTAATTTTTTGTGTTTTTAGTAGAGACAGGGTTTCACCATGTTGACCAGGATGGTCTCGATCTCTTGACCTCGTGATCCACCTGCCTCGGCCTCCCAAAGTGCTGAGATCGCAGGAGTGAGCCACTGCGCCCGGCCCACTGTGTCTCTTAAAAAAAAAAAAAAAAAAAATGGAGGTAAAGGTATTTCACGAAAAAGTGCAGGGTTTTCACACTTGATGGTATAGCTGCAGTGGCAGCTTCTCCAAAAAATGTTCTAATGTATTTATTGAAAAAAATCCAAGCTAGATGTGGTAGCAGGTGCCTGCAGTCCCACCTACTTAGGAGGCTAAGGTGGGAAGATCGCTTGAGCCCAGGAATTCAAGTCTAGCTTGAGGAATATAGTTGAGACTCTGTCTCTATTTAAAAACAAACAAAAAAAACCTGTAAGTTTCTTTAAGTAGACTCGTACAGTTCAAAACCTCATTGCTCAAGAGTCAACTGTACCCTATGAACATGCCTTTCTAGAGTACATTCATTATCAGTGCTGATGTTACTCTGCTCCTTATTCTCTTTATTCTTATAATCACCTTGAAACTTTTTTTGTTTTGTTTTGGAGAGAGTCTCGCTCTGTCACCAGGCACCAGGCTGGAGTGCAGTGGCACGATCCTGGCTCACTGCAACCTCTGCTTCCCGGGTTCAAGCAATTCTCCTGCCTCAGCTGGGACTATAGGCTCAAGCCACCAAGCTCAGCTAATATTTGAATTTTTTAGTAGAGATGGGGGTTTCACCATGTTGGCCAGGATGGTCTCAATCTCTTGACCTTGTGATCTGCCCGCCTCAGCCTCCCAAAGACCTTGAAACTTCTATTGTTCATTTTATTTATTTATTTTTTTGAGACAGAGTCTCCCTCTGTCACCCAGGTGGGAATGCAGTGGCGTGATCTCAGCTCACTGCAACCTCTGCCTCCCAGGTTCAAGTGATTCTCCTGCCTCAGCCTCCCAAGGAGCTGGGATTACAGGCACCTGCCACCGTGCCTGGCTAATTTTTGTATTTTTAGTAGAGACAGGGTTTCACCATGTGGCCAGGCTGGTCTTGAACTCCTTATCTCAGGTGATCCACCCACCTCAGCTTCCCAAAGTGCTGGGATTACAGGCTTGAGCCACTGTGCCCAGCCTACTGTTCATTTTAATATAAAATTAGTGTAATAGTTATCAGAATCAAAATGTAGTCATGTGTATTTAAGAAATGCTGACAAACAGAGCCAAGGAAAGCTATGAACAGAGAGAATTCTCACACTTGTATGCCTGATAACAAAACAATCATAAAAAAACTACAAAAGCCACAGCCTGGTATAAAGGTCATTGTAACCTTATGCCAGAAATATTAATACTTCTGCAAGGACACCTGTCCAGCCCAACCCTGGACTGGTGTCACCCTTGTTACTGATAGCTGTAGCTAAGGATAATTATCATTTCAAAACAATTATGTAATCTTCCCAATTTTCCTTTAAAACCCTGTGTCTCCCTTTACCTTCCTGAATATGCACATTGTTTACTATGGCACACGTATACCCACTGCAATGCCCTATTCCTGAATAAACATCATTTTCTTTCAGAGAACCTCTCTTTGTTATTCAGGGTGACATTAGTTTTCCTAAATGTTTAAAAGATGTGTTTTTAGAAGGAAAGCAGATTTTCTAGTTTCAAAAAGCTCCCCCTTGCACGTTGAAAATCTGGTGGCTTACTTCCTTAAATTGCTGGCTCTGTTCCTATTCCCTCTTTGTCATTCTTGTCCCTATATCCTGCATAATTTCGATGTCATTCCCAGGAGCTCCACCTGCACGGGAGCCTGTCCTGGAAGAGCACTGTCAGATCAATTTTGAGAGTGCACAGGGTTAGACTGCTCCAGCCTCTTCCAACCCACCTGGGGACCCCTTGTACTTACATACTATTGGTTACTTAGGGGATCCTAAGTACTGTATTCTTGGGAAGACCTGCCCTCTCTACACAGATGTCGATACCGTGCAGATTTCATGGCTGTGGGTTAGCTATTTTCCCTTACCTGTTTTTATTTTGGAATTTAGGTAGACACCTTGTCACCTACTTTTGTTGTAAATGTTATACAGTGTTTTCACTTTTTCTACCGACAGCAATCTTTTCTTTAGACCAAGTCTCACTCTGTCACCCAGGCTAGAGTGCAGTGGCACCATCTCAGCTCACTGCAACCTCCGCCTCCTAGGTTCAAATGCTTCGCCTGCCTCAGCCTCCTGAGGAGGTGGGAGGCGTATGCCACCAGGCCCAGCTAATTTCTGTATTTTCAGTAGAGATGGGGTTTTGCCATATTAGCCAGGCTAGAACTCCTGACCTCAAATGATCCACACACCTCGGCTTCCCAAAGTGCTGGGATTATAGACGTGAGCCACCACACCCGGCCACCTAACATCAGTGTAAATAGAATGACTATCAAGGTACCAGTTCTAAGTATCAGCACGGGAAATTACAAGCCTTGAAAATATAAATTGCCATTGACTCTATAATCCTAATTCTGGGATTTATCCTAAAGAAATAATATCATTAGGCAAGTAAAAAAAATACGTGTGTATGAAGCTGCTCTGGTCTGGCCTTAGGGTGCGCTTCCCTCCACCTGCTCATTTCTAACTCTTACTTTTACTGTAAATATTGCCCCCAGTGGTATCTTATTTGTAATTGTGAAACTGTCCAGTCCTGTTAAGTTTGAGTAATCAAATATATACAACTTAATAAATTTAAAGATACACACCTTCAAATGTTGGTCCATAAATCGACTCTCCATTATCTCCTTTTCCAGACACTATATCTGAGAAATAACAATAAATAAACATTTGAATTTTGAGATAAAAAGACTTAGGACACAGTAATGACAGAGAAAAAATGATGCTTTAAATGATGATTCCAAGGCTGAGGTGGGATGCTCACTGGAGCCCAGGAGTTCGAGACCAGCCTGGACAACATAATGAGACTCCATCTCAATTAAAAAAAAAAAAAGAATAGTACAGGTGTGGTAGCTCATGCCTGTAATCCCAGCACATTGGGAGGCCAAAGCAGGAGGATCACCTGAAGTTCGGAATTTGGGACCAGCCTGGCCAAAATGCTGAAACCCTGTCTCTACTACAAATATAAAAATTGGCCAGGCCTGGTGGTAGGCATGTATAATCCCAGCTACTTGGGAGGCTGAGGCAGGAGAATCACTTGAACTCAGGAGGCAGAGGTTGCAGTGAGCAGAGATCACACCATTGCACTGTAGCCTAGGCAACAAGAGTGAAACTCCAACTCAGAAAAAAAATATATATATATGATTCCACTTATACCAATGAATAGGGTAAGTTACCTAATTGTTCAATATCTATACCATGAAAATATTACTATGATAATTTCACTTATACTTTGTAAGCCCTTTTATATTCATAGATAATGCAAACTTTTGAAAGGATAAAGCATTAAATTATAATTCTGGCCACAATTTTCCAAAAGTGTATTTACATAAATTCTGCTTACTTCCTAAATTATTCCACAGTCCGTTATACTTTTGTGAGATCAACAGGAAAAGTGAGTTCTTTTTAGCATATGTATAAAAGATAGGGCTAAGTGCAGTGGCTCACACCTATAATCTCAGCACTTTGGTAGGCTGAAGCAGGCAAATCACTTGAGGCTAGGAGTTCGAGACCAGCCTAGCCAACATGGTGAAACCTGCCTCTACTAAAAATACAAAAATTAGCTGCGTGTGGTGGCAGGCTGAGACACAAGAATTACTTGAGTCCGAGAGGCGGAGATTGCAGTAGGCTGAGATTGTGCCACTGCATTCCGGCCTGGGTGACAGAGTAAGACTCCATCTCAGAAAAAAAAAGAAAAAAGAAAAAAAAACAAGAAAAGAAAAAAAACAAGTAAATGAATAAAAAAATAGGTGCTGCAAACAGAATTCATGTTCAAAATTTCATATCCTATAGTGATAACTCATTTATTGACCTAGTGTATTAGAAATAAAGTTTCCCATGATGGAACAAGGTTTTTCTTAGGTATTCATATGATATACATATTTTGGTTTAGGCAGTGCTCCCACTATAAAAAGACTCCATGTCCTTGTCCATGAATAAATTATTTTTTATCTATCCACAGCTAAAAGAGGAGCAAAGCTAATGCTAGTGAAAAGAGCAGGCTCTGAGATCTGTCCTCTCTCCCCTCATCCTCCCCATCAGAATCTCTCTACTAACTTCAGTTCTCCACTCCACTCCTTCCTTGAATACAGTGCTCAGTAAATATTTATTGAAGGACTACGTTTTTTAAAGTCAGTATGAGCAATTTACCTATAATAAAAGTGTGTGTGCTATTTTTAAAAGAAAACTGATGCAACACCAAGTATTTAAAGAGAATTTATCCCAGAAAGGCCATGCAGCATTTAAATTATACTACTCACAAAGCTGGCTCAGAAGTTAATTGATAAGCCTTAAGTCTCCAACCGGACTCACCTAACACTCAGCCACAGTTCACTATACAGCCCCAGGCAGCTCTGGAAAGGAAGCTGTCATGGCTGAAGGCTAAATCTGGAAACGGGGAAGCTGAGGGCCCCCCAGCATCAATTCCTTCAGATCCTAGAGGTTGTTTCACTCAGGGAAATCTGCCCAGGTGGTCTTCTCCCTGCTAACTTACCTACCCATTGGTCCCACTCCCTTGCCCCCTCCCTCCCACACACACCAACATTACTCTTGTCCTCTGCTTCAGATCTCCTAGGTGAATATTTTATATTGAGACCATTTCATAGTATTTACTATTCTTTTTTGTGGCCATAGTCCACCCTCTTGAATTCAGCCTTATATTCTGATATTATTTCTATACTTCTGACAACAAATTCAGAGATGCCAGATAGTGGTTAAAAGCAAACTTTAAAGTCAGATAATTTTGATTAAAATATTGATGTCCGCTACTTTTTCCAAGGCTGTTTGCTCATCTGTATAAACAGGGATAATGGTAACTGCCTCACAGGTAACTCTGAGGATGAAATGAAATAACACAGGTAGAGCACTCGGGCAGTACTTGGCAGAGTGTCATGCCCATGCAGCATCACATGCTTCTAGAATGCCCCTCTCATTATCATCATCTTCATCATTCTGCTCAATATGATAATGATAATAATAAAATGCATTAAATTTATCTCAAAAGATCCTTCTGGACTCACACTGAAGAAACATCTTATGAAGACAGGAAATGTGGTAACCACCTTTGGTATTCTAGTTCTACTTGATAACATAAAACAACTCATTCTGGAGAAAAATTCTGAATGTACAGAACATGGCCAGGTGCGGTAGCTCACGCCTGTAATCCCAACACTTTGGGAGGCTGAGGTGGGAGGGTCACTTGAGGCCAGAAGTTCAAGACCAGCCTGGGCGATACAGTGATACCCTGTCTCTACAAAAATTTTTTAAGAATTAACTGGGCATGGTGATGTGTGCCTGTAATCCCTGCTACTTGGGAGGCTGAGGTGGGAGGAATTCAAGGCTGCAGTGAGAGCTATGATTGTGCCATTGCATTCCAGCCTGGATGACAGACTAAGACCCACCCGCCTATATTCCCAGCACTTTGGGGAGGCTGAGGCAAGAGGATTGATTGCTTGAGTTCAGGAGTTCAGGACCAGCCTCGGCAACATATAAAAACCTTGTCTTCACAAAGAAAAAATTTTAAAAATTAGCTGGGCATGGTAATGCGTGCCTGTGGTTCCAGCTACTTGGGAGGCTAAGGTGGAAAGATCACTTGAGCCCAGGAGGTTGACGCTGCAGTGAGCTGTGATTATGCCACTGCGCTCAGCCTGGGTGATAGAACAAGACCCTGTCTTAAAAAAAGAATGTGGGAATGCCTTCATTCCACTCAAATCCATTCTAATATACACCGGGGATGGACCTTATAAATATAAATATACACACTTGGTTAGAACCATAGTAGTTAGGAAAACACAGAAGAGTTCTTCATTTAGACAATTACTTTAAAAGTCATGTGAAAACTCCTACTGGAAAGAAATCCTATAATATAAGTCAGATGGAAAGCCTGAAGCAAATTATTTTGTAATGATTGTGAAAATTCACAACATGAATGAAATGTTTTATCAGTTATAAACATTGTACTTATCAGTACATTCTTCTGCTTTATTTGTTTTTACTACTTTCATTATATCTCTTTACCTTCAGCCAACTCACACCATAGCAGCACTCATTCTTAAAGAGAGCCTCTGGACTACGGATTTCCACTTTTTTTTAAAACAAGGGAACACTGAGGTAAGAATTATGTAGGTTCTCTTTAAGCAATAATATAGGAATTCAGCTGGGAACAGTGGCTCAAGCCTGTAATCCCAGCACTTTGGGAGGCCAAGGTGGGTAGATCACTTGAAGTCAGGAGTTCAAGACCAGCCTAAACTGGTCTGGTGAAACCCCATCTCTATTAAAAATATAAAAAAATTAGCTGGGCGTGGTGGCACATGACTATAGTCCCAGCTACTAGGGAGGCTGAGGCCGGAGGATCTCTTGAACCCCAGAGGTGGAGGTTGCAGTAAGCTGAGCTGGTGCCACACACTCCAGCCTGGACTATGGAGCAAGACTCTGTCTCAAAATAATAGTAATAATAATATAATATATGAGTTCAATAGGTTTTTTTTTTTCATGAAGCCAGTTAATATTTTCCTCTATCCATTTTAAGGTGTGTTGGATGTATAGGTGAAATGAAATGTATTTCTAATATATAAGTAGGTTTAATTGTTAACAGTTTGGTAACTGTTCTATGACGAATGGGCTATTGGAAAATGAGTCTTTCTTAAGTGTTTGAATTTTCTTACTGGAATTATTTGGCAGGTTCTGGATATCCTTACCCATCATACATCTTTTAGTCTTATGTAAAACATGATCCTTTTTGTGTAAAAAAGTTCATTTCATTTTCATTGATTAACACAGAGTTGGTATCAATTTTTTTTTTAAATCCTTCTGAAGGCAGCAGGCCTCAAGGGAGCCCGAGGGGGAATCCAACCAAAGTGGTGTAACGAGTTGATATCTTCTTTAACTGCACTTTAAAAATGCAGAGAATGTATGTTTCATGTTAAACTATCTATTTTTATTCTTTCTCTCTCTATTTCTTCCTTCTTTTCTTTCTACAAGTATTTATTAAGCACCTACTATATCTCAAGTACTGTTCTAGTTCCTGGGATACCATAGTGAATAAAACAGATAAAAATTTCTGCCCCCACAGAATTTAGAGAAACAGACAATACACAAAAGAACTAAGAAACATATGGTTGCATGTCTAGTGATGAAAAGTGCTATGAAGAAAGATAAAGCAGGGTAAGGAGTAGCAGGGTGGCCGGAGGGGGAGCGGAGTATGTGGAGAGGAAGATGCAGTTTCATAAACGGTCCAGTAAGGCCTTGCTGAGATGAACTCTGGGCAAGAATCAGAAATGGGGTGAAGCAAGGGATACCTGGAGGAACAGCTGGGTGGTATGTGCCCAGGCAAAACAAGCAAGGCCTCAGGGCCCATGCATGCTTGATGTGCTTAGGAGGCTGCCAGAGGCTGGTGTGTGCAACAGAGTGTCTAAGAGGTCAGAAGATGAGCTGTCGGGGGAGGAGCAGGCAGTGTCTACTGGGTAGAGCCTGTTAGTCCCAAAGGGCAAGCAACAGTGCCTGAAAGCATCGTAAAGCACAGCACAAAACCACGTTTAGCCCCTGTCCTCCAAAATCCTACACAGTCCTGTGGTATCAGAGGCATGTGAACCAGAGCAACTCCAACTTGAATAGGACCTGGGTAAAATGAGGCTGAGACCTGCTAGGCTGCATTCCCAAATGATTAAGGCATTCTAAGTCAAGGGATGAGATAGGAGGTGGGCACAAGGTACAGGTCATGAGGACCTTGCTGATAAAACAGGCTGCAGTAAAGAAGTCAGCTAAAACCCACCAAAACCAAGATGGCAATGAGAGTGACCTCTGGTTGTCCTCCTCACTGCTATACTAGCACCAGCACCATGACAGTTTACAAACACCATGACATCAGAAAGTTACCCTATATGGTCTCAAAAAGGGAGGCATGAATAATCCACCTTTAGCATATAATCAAAAAATAACCATAAAAATGGGCAACCAGCAGCCCTCGGGGCTGCTCTATGGAGCAGTCATTCTTCTGTTCCTTTACTTTCCTAATAAACTTACTTACTTTCACTTTACTCAACAAACTCGCCCTGAATTCTTCCTTGTGAGAGATTCAAGAACCCTCTCTTGGAGTCTAGATTCAGATCCCTCTCCTGTAACATTGGGAACTGGACATCTGTAGGGAGAGAGTATGTTTCTTTCCAGAGCTTGGCACTTTCAACACACCAGATCATTGAATCCTCACCACATCATGTGATCTTCACATCATTATTCCCATTTTATGATTAAGAAACTGATTCAGGGAGGCCAAGTGGCTTATCCATGGTGGTAAAACTTTCATGAATCACAGCTTGGATTTGAATCTAGCAATCTAACTTTTTCCCAAACCATCCTTAACACTGCTGCCTTACTAATTGAAAACATGATCCAATATTGGTTGCACTTTACTATTTGGAAATTTTACTTTAAATAAAAACACAAATAAAAAAATGTGTTTTTATTTAAAGTAAAAGTGAGGTTAGATGACCTACTTTTCCCAGATCGTGCAAGGGTGGTAGGAACTAAGCAAAAACAAAAATAAAACAAAACAAAAGAATACAGCATCTGAGTCCAGGTGTGGTGGCTCACACCTGCAATCCCAGCACTTTGGGAGGCAGAGGCATGGGAATCACTTGAGGTCAGGAGTTCAAGACCAGCCTGGCCAACATGGTAAAACCCATCTCTCCCAAAAATCCAAAAATTAGCCAGGCATGGTGGTAGTGCATGTCTGTAGTCCCAGCTACTTGGGAGGCTGAGCTGGGAGGATCACTTGAGCCAGGAGGTCGAGGCTGCTAAAAAAATCAAGGTACTAAAAATGTCAAGGTACTCAAGTTGAGGTACTAAAAAATATTTTTAAAAATATAAAAATTAGCCAGGCATAGGGGTGGATGCCTGTAATTCCTGCTATTCGGGAGGCTGAGGCAGAAAGAACTGCTTGAGCCCAAGTGGGGAGGTTGCAGTGAGCTGAGATCACGCCACTGCACTCCAGCCTGGGCGACAGAGTGAGATTCTGTCTCAAAAAGAAAAAGCAAAAAAAAAAAAAAAAACCAGCATCTGAGAGCCTAGCACATGAGAGTCAACAGTGAACTCAGCGTCAGGAGCCCTAATACCAACAGGCTCCTGGAAGAAATGTTTTATACTAACCAAAAATGGAAAACCATCTAAATGTTCATCAATGGGGAATTAATTAAACTTGTATAGCAATATGATAAAAAAAAACTTGGCAGAGGCTAAACATTTTGTATGTTTATGTTTGTTAAAATGAGAAGATGGATACCACATATTAAGTGGAAAGACACAATATGGAAAAACATTTAAAAGTGAGGTTAGATGACAGTATTTGTGATATTATCTCATTTTGGAGAACCAAAGGGAAAGTGCTTTAACATGCAGGATGCTTGGAATATATCTATATTTTTCTCCTCATCAGCCTCAGAATGTCCCAGATCATACACAAAAAGGTAAACACTAATTTAAGCTTCTGCATTTGTCATGGAGTTCAAGCAAATCTCCTTTGACACTAAGACAATTATTTGTAAATTGCTGCCTGGTTGTTCCCTGTGGAATATGCCCCAACATTTAATTTTGTGCTTTTAATCAGACTATAAAACACCAAAGGACTGACCTCAAAAGAAAGAGAAAATAGAAACCAAAATCCTTTACACATTACTTTTTACTTGTAACAATGTAACATCTTTGGTAAGAAATAAGTTGTTTTCCATTTATTCTATTTTTAAATTCCCACTCTTATTACACTTATTAAAACCACTGTATTTCTAGGTACAAAAATTTAGATGAGCATTTGAAATTGCATTTTGGTAAAACAAAATGTTACCCTACTCTCCTATATCATTTTTAATGTGGAATATTCCTGGTAACCTAATTTAGATTTATTTATTTTAATAATTAGGGTGTTTTATAAAATAATACAAATATCTTACTTCATTATTTGTCTTCATTTAAGTCTAATTTTAAGTATATCTACTTCTACATACATTTCATAAAGATAAATAAACAAAGGTTTGCACCATCTCATTTGATATTGCAATTAAGTTGTTTTTAAGATTTTAAACTCACCCCCTCCTTGTATCCAGCCATTTGGTACTATTCGATGAAAAACAGAATCTTTGTAATGTAGCCTTATGCCACTTTGAGAAAACCCTGCTTTTCCTGTGCATAAGACCTGAAAATTTTTACATGTTTTGGGACACACATCACAGTATAGCTACAAAATAAAGACAAAAGGTTTCAAAGATTAAATATTTAACAGTCCAACAGTTATAGAACCTACCCTACCCCTACAGATGTATTTAAAAAAAAAAAAGGTCTTACCTCAAAAATCAATCTTCCAATTGGAGAAGAATCAATACAAATGTCCAAAAACACAAAATTGTGCTACGAAGATAAAGAGAAAAATATAATGCAGGTCTATGTCTTAAAAGAAAGTTTTTAGAAATTACCAAAAATATAATAGATACAATATTTTTAGTGATAAGATTTCAACATTACCAATGGTTAATATAACAGTAAAATTAAGTGAACAATTTATTTCATTTTATCAAGATTTTACAACCCACTTCACACATTTTAATTTTTATTATTGTATTTATTTGTTTATTTTTGAGACAGGGTCTGGCTCTGTCCCCCAGGCTGGGGTGCAGTGGCACCATCGTGGTTCACTGCAGTCTCAACTTCCTGGGCACAAGTGATCCTCCCACTTCAGCCTCCCAAGTAGCTGTGACTACAGACATGCACAGCCAGCATGCCTGGCTAATTTTTGTATTTTCAGTAGAGATGGGGTTTCGCCATGTTGCCCAGGCTGGTCTCGAACTCCTGAGCTCAAGGAATCCGCCTGACTTGGCCTCCCAAAATGCTGGAATTATAGGCATGAGCCCTGGCACCCAGCCTATATAGCCACACCTAGTTGGGGGAAGAAAACAGACCGGGAATTCTTCTCTACTTCTCTTCTTTCCTGAGTACTTTTGGGAAAGATCCATCATGAACACCATGGATTTGGTTACTGTGTGTCCTCGATTTTCAGAGAAGCAAAGATTAGCTAACCAGAGCCAGGCCACATCTGTTCTGAGTGGGAAAATCAGGTCCCTGTATCCACAGCAGGTATAGCACCAGAGGTCAGGAAAAGAAGGATGCTGGGCTTTCAAGTTATATTCAATAACACTCTCATGTGCATAGGTGCCCCCAGCTTATTTTCACTTGATATCCTTTCTCGTAGAGAAACACATTTGTGAGACCTTGTCTAGCCCTATAAAGAGGTATTAGAAATGAAAATGCTAGTTTCAACACAATAGTATTCATTTAGGAGCCAAAGCACATTTAATGGAGTACATTTCAAATCTTGGGCACCATTCTCCTACATTAAAATGCCACCTTGGCTCATGCCTGTTATCCCAGCACTTTAGGAGGCCAAGGTGGGTGGATCACTTGAGCCCAGCAGTTTGAAAACAGCCTGGGCAACATGTTGAGATCCTGTCTTTACAAAAAAATTAAAAAATTAGCTAGACATGGTGGCATGTGTTTGTAGTCCCAGCTATTCGGGAGGCTGAGGCAGTAGGATCACCCGAGCCCAGTGAGCTTTGAGACTGCAGTGATCCATGTTCGTACCACTGCATTCCAGCCTGGGTGACAGACTCTATCTCAAAAAAAAAAAAAAAAAAAAAAAAAAAAAAAGAAAGAAAAAAAACCACCTTATTGAACAAGGTGCATAATTTATGCTGCCCTCTTTCTTAGGAATCTAGGAAATGAATGAAATTAAGTGCATCATATTATTTTATGTCACTCTAACTTTTTTTTAAAATTAAAAGACTGAAATAATATTGTGCTATCTGGCATCTAGCAATGAAGTGTTACATTCACACTAATTATATTAATTTGTGCCTCTCAGCATCTGTACAAGTTCTTAATTATAAGAGACTAGCATAACTAAAGAATAGGAGGCATAATATAGTAAACTTCAGAGGCTCAGGATGATAACGACGATATATTGGTAATCATGGTTGACTCAGGAAATGGACTTACTGCCTATCCAGACACCATTAAACTTCCCTGTGCATCAAGATACTATCTTTATGAGGTAGTTCAGAGTAGATAGTTCTGAAAACGCCAATATAAGAGTTCAAATGACTGTAACACAAGGTAATGTCCCAGTCACCTAGCAGCCAAACAGGCAAGCATATTTGTCTACCATATGGTTCTAACCAGAAGTAAACAAATCCGTTTTATTTAGCAAGAAAAGCCCACCCTCTGTGCAAAAAAAAAAAATCTAAGGATTGTCTCTGGAATCGAGGTCCTCTATCCTCACTGCCTCAAATTATTTCAGGCTTTCATTATGTCTAGCTCATGCTGCTATAGCTGCTTTCCAATTCCCTGCTGCCAAGCTCTCCCCTACTGCAGCCTACTTCTGCACAGACCTAAACATTTTTCCAAAAGAGCAGAGGGCTGGGTGCAGTGGCTTACCCTACAATCCTAGCATGCACAGGTGCCCCCAGCTTATTTTGGGAGGCCGAGGCGGGCGGATCACAAGGTTAGGAGTTCAAGACCAGCCTGGCCAATATGGTGGAGCCCTGTCTCTACTAAAAATACAAAAATTAGCTGGGCGTGGTGGCTGTTGCCTACAGTCCCTTTTACTCCAGAGGCTGAGGCAAAAGAATCGCTTGAACCCGGGAGGCCGAAGTTGCAGTGAGCTGAGCTTGCACCAGGGCACTCCAACCTGGGCGACACAGCAAGACTCTGTCTCAACAACAACAACAACAACAAAGAGCAAAGAGAATTACATCATACTCTATATGGAAAGCTTGATTGGTTCAGTTTGCTTCTGGATAAAATCTAACTCCTCCATTCAGATGCACAATAAATCATAATCTGGCCTCAAACTTTTCTTAGGATCAATTGGATTTTTTTTTTTCCTAATTAAAATCTGAATACCCTTTCTATCTGGGGAACTCCTTGCAGGGTCCCACCACTTTCATTAGATCCTAAAGGGGCCAGATTCTCCCTCTCCACATGCTGAGAGCACCAGGTTTTGGGAATATGACCTAGGCTTGCCAGCTAGCGCTCCTGCCTGGGCTTAGGTCTCTAGGGAGTGATGATGCAGACACTGGAGTGTTGAACAGTTAATCTTGGTGAAGGAGGTGGTGTGGACAAGGGCCAGCAGTGCTGTGCCAGTTCCCTGGCCATACATCCCTGCAGTGTGACTCTGGCCACGTCTTCCTGCTGCCAGACCTCGTTGATTCCTGCCTGTTTTCCAAAGCTACTGACCAGCTTTTCTGTCAATTGTGAGATAACCAGTATCCTTTCAATACACACCTTTTCTCCTTCAATCAATCAAAGGAGCTTGGTAATGCTGGCACCAAGAATCTTGACTGAAAGTCATTTTCCCAGCTTAATTCCCCACCAATTGTGACCTCCTTGCTGTTCCCCTGCCATTCCCAGAGCATGTGCTACTAGACTCCTGACTCTGGGAATTAACCATTTGAACATTAAATTCCTCCCCGCATCCCAGAGTTTCTAGAATTTTCAAGGTGTACTGTTTTTTTCAATCAAACATTCACTGAGCACCTATTATGTTTCAGGTCTGTTTGAGCAGTGCTTCAACAAGGATGAATGAGACAAGGCCCTTGCCTTTGCACAGCTCAGATCTTAGCACCAAGTCACTGCGGGCACAGGCCGCCATGGGCATGAAATGATTTTCTGCATGATGTAGTCGTTGCTACAACAAGATTTCCGAGCAGAACTGCAAAGTCCCTCCAACCCTATCGCCATCACATCCTGCTACCTGCCACTCGCCTCTGGACCTTATGCTTCATGACTATCCTTTGCCACTAGAAATCTCCCCACTGGCACAGCCTGTCTGGGCTTGCTCTTGCCAACTACGTGTTCATGCTCTAACATGCCACCTTTCTTCAATCAACTCGCCATTCTCTTAGCTCTTGCCTAAATATTGGACAGTCTTAATGCAACTATTTTATACTCAGGATGAATGGATGATAGGCTTGACCTTCTCTGAGGGGGCAGTCTTTATATTTTAAAATGGGTAATTTGTGCATATGCATCTCTGATGGCGAGAAGAAATGTTTGCCCAGAGATGATCTCCCTGTGCAGCCCACATGCTGTGAGATACACTCACTTTACATACCACCACATGATGACCTTTTGCAACTGGAACTGGAACTAGACTTTAAACTTAGTCTCCTACTTTTTTATAATCTCCTTCATTAGGATACCAATAATTAATGCTGAACCAATATAAAAGGTCCAAGATTCCATGATTTTTCTTTAAAAATTAGTGTAACTTGCCTTGGTGTCTCTTAAGAATTTAGTGGAAAAATCCTCAGCGAGTGCGTCATAAAGTGCAGAGGGTTTAACATCAACTATATCCCACACCTCGTGGGCCCATTTCTGTAGATCCAATGCATCGCCCAGGAGCTGACCATTAACAAAAGACATCACGGAGGAAGAATATTCCCAGGTTTCATTTTTCAGTTCCTGTAAGGGAAAAGGACAAAAAAAAATGTAAGAAGTGAGGGAAAACTTGCTAAACTCATAAGCCAGAGCTTGGGATCAACTCTAGGTCTGAATTTGTCAACTCTTGGATTGAATCTTTTAAAAATATGTTTTTATTGTCCTTTAGAAGTTTTCTCTCAGAATTTAAGAACATTTTTTAAGAATCTTATATCACTAAAAGCAAATGATTTAAAAAGTAATCATAAAAATGTTACAAAGGAAAAAACAATGTATCTGAGGAATGCCAACCCGTTTTAATTATCATGCCCAGAAAGGCATTTAAAGTGCAACAGCAGTTACATCTCACTCCACCTTGAGCTAAATAATTACCTTCACTCACTATGTGGGCTCCAGACTGATACCAAACAGCCACAACATGCCATCCACCCTATAGTTCAACAAGGTATAGCCAATCACTAACCGACTTTACTTCTGTAAATCAGTCAGTTCCTGACCAACAGCTTTTGTAGTCGCCTGCTCTTCTGATTCATTCTTTCTTCTTCAAACACTTGAGCCTCTATTTTGTTCTCTGGAGCACTCCCCAAGGCAACCTGGAGGTGTGTCCTGGGCTGCAGTCCTCAACCTTGGCCCAAATAAGCACTCTATCTTAATTTTGTTTCAGCTTTTTCCTTTTAGGTCAACACATTAATAGATGATAAATGATAATCCAGTAATAAAAATCATCATGAGCCTGGCATATTTGTATATTAACTTGCAAACAAAATTCAGTCTCTGTCTTCATGTCTAAAGCACATTTTACTGTGTGCATACTTGGAAAGGTTAGGGGTTCCAGTTAAGACATGGGTTTCAATGCAGAGGACTGGGAAAATGTTTTTTGCATGGGGTGGGGATAGGGTTAGGAAATGACTTCTGAGGGTCAACAGGGATTTCTGGGGCACAATCAGGGGCAGTGGGGAGGAAAACTCACCTTCCTCAGCACTGTTTCCAGCCCCTCAAAATGCAGTATGTTAGTGTTTTCATCAACACAACCTTCTAAATCTCCAGTGGGTTTGAGGGACATCCCCTCTGAGGAGATCTGGAAGGGCTGGTGCTGCTGTTCTAGAGACTGCACTTGGAGAAATACTAGTTTGGAGAACAATTTACATTCAACTTGCCCACTTGCTTCATTTTCCTCTCTCAGGAGATTTAATATCCTATCACTTGCTTCCTATGCCCTTATCAAAACCTGCTTCTAGACAGATAAGAAACTTGTTTATGCTGAACTATAAATCACTGATAGACCCTATGGGTCAATACTTCCTGGAGTGTTTATCAGTGAGATCATATTTTACAGGACCCAAAACTTTCTTTTCTTTTTTTTTTTTGAGACAGAGTCTTGCTTTGTCACTCAAGCTAAAGGGCAATGGTGTGATCTCAGCTCACTGAAACCTCCACCTCTTGGGATCAAGTGATTCTCCTACCTCAGCCTCCCAAGTAGCTGGGATTACAGGCGCCCTCCACCATGCCCGGCTATTTATATATTTTTAGAAGAGACGGGGTTTCGCCATGTTGACCAGGCTGGTCTCAAACTTCTGACCTCAGTGGATCACCTGTCTCGGCCTCCCAAAGTGCTGGGATTACAGGTGTGAGCCACCACACCTGGCTGGGACCCAAAGCTTTCTAAACAGGAGAAAAAAAAATTATTGTGGCTATTTTAGCTAGCTTGTTGGGAGAAATGCAGTAGAAAGCACATTTTATTTGGAGGCTAAAGATGTAAATGCCTTGCTCTGTCTCCTCTACACGTATGGAGGCATGCTTGCCTGCCTCAAGTGAACAGCATGGACCTGACAGCTTCTAGGGCCTTCAGCACTAAGAGTATGAAGCTGCCTTATTTGGAGCAGAGGGACCTTCCCAATGGCCCTGAAGTCATCCCCTTAGGGTGACACTACATTTTGCTGAAGCCTAAGGCCAGTTGAACCTCATGAGTTGATTCAGAGAGACCAAATGTGCTAGGAAGCACTACCTAAGACACAAGACACAATGCTTACATTAATGAAGGACAAGAAACTGCCCTGAGAGGAAGAAAAGGTTAAGGTGACAAACAGCCAGAGGAGGAGGGGGAGAGGAAGAAGAAAGGAGGATAAGGAATATCACAAGTGGAAAGAAGCAGCAATGAGGAACTAGAAAGCCTCCACAGACCCATGAGAAAGGCAGGAGGAAGAGAACACAAAACATTTTGAGGGAACCCAGGCTGAAAGGGGAGGGAAACAGGAATAGAACCCACACCAATTTCCTAGAGTCTGGTGGGAATGTAAAAGAGGAGTGGGTGCAAATCACAAACCATGAGATCATAGCTTTCCTGTGGGTGGAGAGCATGACACTGGTAGGCCACAAAATAAGTTTGATTATTAAGAATAAAATGTTGCCCAGGCTGATCTTGAACTGCGCCTGTCCTTGTAAAAAAATAAAAAAAAGTATTGTTTTATGTTTCAGTGAGCCACAGTTCAGTTCTGCCTAGAACTATCCTACTTTTGGCACTGAAATTCCCACATCCTTGGAAAACCCTCAGTCCCAGGCAAACCAGGACCATTAGTCACCCAAGTTGTTGGAAAAATTAAAATTTATGTATATAAGCTAGGTACAGTGGCTCATGCCTGTAATCCCAACACTTTGGGAGGTCAAGGCAGGAGGGTTGTTTGAAGCCAGAAGTTTGAGACTAGCCTGGGCAAAATAGCGAGACTCTGTTTCTACCAAAAAAAAAAAAAAAGAAAGAAAAAAGAAAAACAGAATATGTGTGTGTGTTTGTGTTTGTCTGGAATAGTATCTATCATATAATAAGCATCATTATAAGTGTCTGGTTCTATCTGAATTCCAATGAATATGTTTTAAGGTTATAAACACGTTAATCTTAACCAATGGCATTTTTATTCAGTCTTGCACCATTCATGTGACTGAACAGAGAGTGAAGTGGTCTCATAAAGCCACATTACCTCCATGATACTTAATCACAGGATCACGGGACATCCTTGTGCAATCCAGCACAGAACTACTGAAACTGCTCTGGTCAAAGGAAGTGAGTTTCATTAGCCATGGGGGAGATAGGGTGGGCAGGGAAACTAGGACTGGGACTGCCTACAAGACTAGGCCAGGGGTGACAAGCATCCCACCCTCTGCAACATAAGATATTGCTAAGCCAGGATGCCACCTTAGTATCCTTCTTATCACATGCTCTAGGCAGCACTACCAACTGATCACATTGTCATCCAAGGGGAGACCTATCATCCCTGGACAAGCTCTGCTGGCCCTAAGGTGTGGAGTTCTCTGAGGGTACAGATAGAGGGGAGAAGGCAGAGAAAGAAGCTTCAACTAGGACAGGGTTGCCCTCCAGGAGCTCAGTGCCTGTCATCAGAGCTTCCCCAAGCAACAGTCCCACAGAAGCCCCTGGCTGTCTCTGTGATGTATACCGTCAACACTTTCTAGAGTTTAAGGACCAAGAGGACCAGGCCACGTTAACCTGAGTGCCAGGATATGAGAGGAAGTATAAGTGATGTGCAAGGAGACAGGGTAACTAACCATCCTCAGCGGTAAGTGGCACCATCGATCTTACTTTTATCTTATGCTTTCCAAAGGAAAATCCTGTAAATGTTGTACTTAAAAGAAACCAGCTTGGTAGCTGGGCAAGGTGACTCACGCCTGTAATCCCAGCACTGTGAGAGCCCAAGGTGGGGGAGACTAGCTTGGGCAACATGGTAAAACCCCAGCTCTTAAAAAAATACAAAAATTAAAAAAAATACAAAATTAGCCGGGCATTGTGGTGTGTGCCTATAATCCCAGCTACTTAGGGGGCTGAGGCAGGAGGATTGCTTGAATCCAGAAGGTTGAGGCTGCAGTGAGCCAAGATTGTTCCTCTGCACTCCAGCCTGGGAAACAGAGTGAGACTCTGTCTCAAAAACAAAAAACCCAGCTTGGTAAATAACATAATTTAGGAAAAGCACATAATTTAGAGAAATAAAATCTAGTTACACTAAAATTACTCTTTCAGTTTTTCTAAAACAATGCATAAATAATTCAGGCAAAACTTGGCTTGTTGCCTATATCCCCGACACCCCAAATATTCTTTACCCTTTTTTTCTCCTGTAGATATTGATGCCATGCAAATTCTTGAAGAGGAACTAATACAGGATCTTCAAATTTGGATGGATGATTATTCTTCAGATTCTGAGTTTCAAAATACAATTATTTTAGAGTTAATTCTCTTTTAAAGTCAAAATCATATCTCACAATTTTTACAGGGTTTCCAGAAGTTTTATACAACACACACTCAGGCCATGCAGTCTGCCTGGGATAGTCCTTGTTCATTCTCAGAGGCTCTTGTGCTTCCCTCCAAGTTGCTCCCTAGGCCAGGGAGCTTATATGTATAAGTGCCTTGAAGCCAAGAACTATGTCTTAGAGGCTGGGTGTGGTGACTGTAATCCCAGCACTTTGGGAAGCTGAGGTAGGTGGATCACCTGTGGTCAGGAATTTAAGACCAGCCTGGCCAATGTGGCAAAAACCCTTGTCTCTACTAAAAATATAAAAAATTATTCGAGCATGGTGGGTATGTGCCTGTAATACAAGCTACTTGGGAGGCTGAGGCAAGAGAACCACTTGAACTCAGGAGGCAGAGGTTGCAGTGAGCTGAGATTATGCCACTGCACTCCAGCCTGGGCACAACAGAGTGGGACTCTATCTCAAAAAAAAAAACAAAAAAAACTGTGTCTTAGTCTTCCTGTATTTCCAATCTACACATAGTAACCGAAAAAACAAAGGAATAAATAAATGGGTTAACGCCAATAGTTTTGTGATCTGCTGTCTTCTCTTTGGACTAGTTTTTCCCTAAGTTAAACTCTTGCTAAATCTCAGTGGATCTATAGATACTTTACTTATAACTAAAATAAATAAATAAATAAATAAATGTTCTTGCTTTAATTCACTGATGTATGGGGATGACCAAAAAGAACTGTTGTGGTTATACCTCTTAGGAAAAAGTGAAGTAAAGGCAAAACCCGTTTAGGTTTAGATACTGATTATGTTTTAGTTTGACATAGACTGTGTGTAGGAATCAGAGAAAATTCTTACTGGTTAGCACTCCGGGCTTGGTTCCTGATGTTAGTTATACTTTGGCTCCCTCTAAAGCAACAGAAGGCAGGTGAGGCATTAACAGGCCCCTTTCCTGAGTGGGTCTGGGAAGTAGATGGACCAAGGGGAAAAGCAACAGCCTTTGCAGGTGGTACCTTCCCTGCTGGGGATAGTGCTTGGAGGCCCTGTCTGGTCCAAAAGAGGGTGCTGGCCTGGCATATGTCATCGGGGGTGAGTATTCCAAAGGGAGAAAACCAGGATATGAATACATTAAGTTTGTAATTAACTTTATGGCCATTAACTTTGGTAATAAAAGGTCGCTGATCCCATCTGCCCAAGCAACACAGACCACAATTTCTACTTTTGATTATCATCAGGGGTGAGTATTCCAAGGGGAGAAAACCAGGTTCCACTTTGGGAACCCTCAGGAAGAGGGCAATGACAATCAGGCCATTTCCTCTTGGCCTCAAGCAATAGGTGACATGTCCTGTTTCTCAGTTCCAGTGTCTGTTCTCAGTTTGAGGCAATACTATACTGCAGGTTGACTGCTATTTCTAACAATCTAGAATAAACTATAAATCCAAGTTTTCAAATGAAACATATCGTGTTCAAGACAAGAAACATATCATGTCTTTTGAATAATTTAGTATTTGTTATAGAATGGACTACATTCAAATTAAAATGTATACAATATTCTTACTCTCTACAAATCTCAATCTTTTGTGTACATATTTTGGGGTAGTGATGTCTCAATACATATAATATATACTTATCATGAGTATATCCATCATCTCAAACATTTATTATTTCTTTGTGAGGGAACACTCAACACAAATCTAAATCTTTGTCAATCAGGCAGGTGAGATTGCTCATAAATGATCAGATTAAGTATATATTCAGATATTCTTTATTAAGACAGAACTAGACGTTGGACATCGTGGCTCACGCCTATAATCCCAGCACTTCTGGAAGTCAAAGCAGGAGGATTGCTTGAGTTCAGGAGTTCAAGACCAGCCTAGGCAACATAAGACCCCCTCTATCAAAAAAAAAAAAAAAAAAGAATTAGCTGAATTTTCATATTGAAACATAACTACAGTAGGTAAAGGGAAAACTGACATTATTAAGATAATAAAGACATTGTTTTCTCAACCTGGTGTCTTCTATAGCAGGGGCTGGAGAGGAATTATTTTTAGATTTGTAGACAGTTTTAGAAATCAAAATAATTATTTCATGTTATGTGAAATTAATATGCAAGTTAAATTCAGTGTCCATATAAAGTTTTACTGGAATGCTGTCATTCATTTCCACGCCTGTGTCTGCTTTTGCAACACAGGACAAAGCTAAACAGGTGTAATCGAGACCCTATTGCCCAGAAGGCCTAATATATCTACTGCCTGGACTTTACAGAAAAAGACTCGCCAACATTTTCATTACAATGTGGAGTCGTCAAAGAAAATATGTGCATTCAGAAAAAAAGCAAGGAAGAACGAGAAAAAAAGTCTCTGAAACTCATTAAATACATTAAGTTTGTAATTAACTTTATGGCCATTAACTTTGGTAATAAAAGGTTACTGATCTCATCTGCCCAAGCAACACAGACCACAATTTCTACTTTTGATGATCCATGTATTATTTCAGACTTCTGATCACTTGTTTTCTTTTCATTATTTATTTATTTAGAGACAGGATCTGTCTAGCTCTGTCACCCAGACTGGAGTGCAATGGCATGATCTCAGCTCACTGCAACCTGCGCCCACAGGGTTCAAGCCATTCTTGTGCCTCAGAATCCTGAGCAGCTGGGATTACAAACGCCTGACACCATGTCCGGCTGATTTTTTTGTATTTTTAGTCGAGACGGGGTTTCACCACGTTGGCCAAGCTGGTCTCGAACTCCGCCTCTGCCTCCCAAAGTGCTGGATTACAGGCGTGAGTCACCACGCCCCACATGTCTTCTATTTGGGAACATTTTGTTGTCAAGTATCCAGCTGGGTATTTCGGGAGTTACAAATATTAATTAAGGCATGGTCGTGGGTTCAAGTTGAGGTTTGGTGAGAAGCTTGGCAGGGGCAGCATCTCTGGAGCAAACCGTATAAGGGCTGAATTCTACATTCTGACATTTCATACATTTCTACATTTCTGCTGCATTTCAGGTTGTAAGCGTGCGCATGACTGATCTGGCCAAATTGTTCCAGTTTCCTCAAGTGCTTTTCCTTTAATACCGTTTTGAGTGTTTACAAAGAAACTGTTTTCCAAAGCACTTGTGAACCATTTATTAAGAAATCCGTGAAGCATCTAGTTCAATTGGAATGCAGTAACGGCTCTAGAGAATTCTTCCCCGAAGGAACAGTTTACAAAAATCGCTTGGGGAAGGAGGGGGACTGTAAACTCAGCTAGTTATACAGTAATCATTTTTCCATAAATTTTATAATCTCTAATTCAATAAGAAACTGACGTGGAAGAAAATCTGTGGATATGTGTGTGTGTGTGTGTGTGTGTGTTGGAGGGGGTTACCTTATTTCCCAGCACGGTTCGGAACGCTTCCTTCGCTGGGTTTTCCCTTTAAAGGTCGCGAAGTCGAACGCCCGCCCCAGGACCCTAACTTGCCCCCTATACTCTCCTCCTGGTCCTCCAGACGGAGCCCTCCCAGCCCGGACACGCCAGCCCCTTCCTTCGACCGTGAAACCTCTACCACCGCCGCCTGGAGGAGGCGCTGCGTCCGCAGTCCTCTGGGCCGAGACCGGGGAGCTGGGAGGGCCGCCCACGACGAAGGTTTCTCTGCGGTTACCTCAGCAGCGCTCTTCGCAATCTGAAATTTGGGGCAGCTGAAGAGCCCCACCACCTTCACCTGCAGCGGCCGCTCGGGTAGCAGCGGCGAGCCGCACCGGGCGTGCTGGGGCCGGCAGGGCTGCGGACTTCCCATGGCCGCGCGCGGGGACGCCCCGGGAGCACAAACACTGCGCGTCGTTCAGGCAACCGCCCGGCCTCGCCCCCGCCGCTCGCAGGGGGCGGGGCCGAGGGCGGCCGGTGGCGGCTGGGCCTTTCCTCAACTTTGCGCCTGTTGCTGGGCGGCCGGCGGAAAAAGAACAGGCGGCCGCCAGCCCGGGGCGCTCTCGGGACACCTAGGGTCCTCGCGCGCGGCCCTCGTCGAGCCTGGGCGCCCGGATTTCGGCAGCGGATCGCCTTTCCGGGTTGGCGGCCGGCCGGATCGGGACGAGCAGGCCGGTTGCTGGGGGAACGCGGGGGCCTAAGCCGCGCGGGCTTGGTGCCCACCTGTGCGCGCCGCCCGCGAGGAAGGAACGGCCGGGGAGGAGGAGCTGGCGGCCGTCACCGGGAAGCTTGAGCCGCCTCGCGCCCCTGCAGCGCCCTCGCCATGAAGCCCAACTTCTCCCTGCGACTGCGGATCTTCAACCTCAACTGCTGGTGAGCGCGTCCGCGGAATGCGGTCTGGGGGCCCCTTCGGCTCGCACCCATGCAGTCTTCCTCACCGCCCGTCCACGACCCCATCCCACCCCATGATCTCAGGGTGTAGGGGGAACCCGAACCTCCAAAGTCCGCATCTAGCCCCAGCCCCCGTGGTCCCAGCAGTCCCCTCCCCTGCCTCGCTCTTTCCTTCCTTAGGGGCATTCCCTACTTGAGCAAACACCGGACCGACCGCATGAAGCGCCTGGGAGACTTTCTGAACAAGGAGAGCTTCGACCTGGCTCTACTGGAGGAGGTGAGGTTGTGCAGCACCGCGCAGAACCCAGGCTGGGAGGAGGGCACCTGGGGGCAGACAGTCCCTCTGGGGAAAGGCCAAGCAGGCATCCTCACCCCTTCCCTCAGGTGTGGAGTGAGCAGGACTTCCAGTACCTGAGACAGAAGCTGTCGCCTACCTACCCAGCTGCACACCACTTCCGCAGGTGAGAAGCCCACTGGCCTGAAGCCTGTTCTCAGCCCAGGAAGCTCTTGGCTCTGCCAGCCTTTCCCTATCCTGCCTGCATCCTACACTCTCTTCCAGCCTCCTTTCCCTCTGGATGTGAGAGAAGGGTAAACCAAGAAGGTCCTATGACTTAAGCCCATTTCAGCTTTGTAATCTGGCTGCCCTATACTCCTCCCAAGGTTGCTCTAGGGAGCAACTAGCCTTTGCTCTTTGCTCAACTAGCCTTTGACTAGCCTTTGCTCTAGGGCTAGTCCCAGCAGTAGAGAAAGAAAAAATAGCTGATCAGAGCTGGAAGACAAGGGACGGGAAGAGGGCTGGGTGTCTCTCCCTGTTTTTCTGGTTATTAAGCAGGGCTTGGCTTTCAGCGGAATCATTGGCAGTGGCCTCTGTGTCTTCTCCAAACACCCAATCCAGGAGCTCACCCAGCACGTCTACACTCTCAATGGCTACCCCTACATGGTAAGCCAGACCTCTGACCTCTTCCACCTCCCTTCCCCACCTCCAGGAATACAAGCTACAGGAGGCAGCCTTCTGAGAGAGAGCTGTAAGGGATGGGCAGAAAGGGGGTGGTGGTGCCCTGAGTTTCTACCTCCCCCTGCCTGCAGATCCATCATGGTGACTGGTTCAGTGGGAAAGCTGTGGGGCTGCTGGTGCTCCATCTAAGGGGAGTGGTGCTCAACGCCTATGTGACCCATGTGAGTGAAGCTGGCAGTGCCTAGGGCTGGGACATGCAGCCCCATCCTGGGACACAGAGATGTTACTCCTCTAGCTCTAATGCCTGGGGGTGAGGTGTGGGAGCAAGATCTTATAAGGAAGCATTGGGCAAGGTGTATCCATTCTATACCAAACACTCTGCCAGGTGTCAGATACAGGCTTGATTCAGACATATTCCTGGGACCCTCACTCTTACTGCTGTGATCTCTTCTGTCTTGCTCAGCTCCATGCCGAATACAATAGACGAAAGGACATCTACCTAGCACATCGTGTGGCCCAAGTTTGGGAACTGGCCCAGTTCATCCAGTGTGTGAGCCTGAGCTTGAAAGGGGAAGTGGGATGGGACCCAGGGGGCTGAGGGTGAACAAGGCCTCACTCATAGGGAAGAGCTGTGAGGGAAGAACTCCTGCCTCACCAGCCTGGTTCCCCCAGCCACACATCCAAGAAGGCAGACGTGGTTCTGTTGTGTGGAGACCTCAACATGCACCCAGAAGACCTGGGCTGCTGCCTGCTGAAGGAGTGGACAGGGCTTCGTGATGCCTACCTTGAGACTCAGGACTTCAAGGTGAGGATTTGCCTGTTATTTCCCCACCCATATCTCCAGCTTCTCTCCCTCCTCCTTCCCCCACATCCTACCATGAGCTACCGATTCCCTTAGGGTTCTGAAGAAGGCAGCACAATGGTGCCCAAGAACTGCTACGTCAACCAGCAGGAGCTGAAGCCGTTTCCCTTTGGCATCCGTATTGACTACGTGCTTTACAAGGCCAGGCTCCTCCCTCCACATGCCTTCATCCGCTGTGTGTCTCTGTCTACCACCAGCCTATGTAGATCCTTTGCTCAGCTAGTCTAGTCTTGGACTACTGATGGTTGGAAAGTGGGGTAGCCAAGAGCTGGTTCTCTGGGAAGAGGCCCTCATATATAAGCTTCTCTCTGGCCCTTACTTTTCCTAGGCAGTTTCTGGGTTTTACATCTACTGTAAGAGTCTTGAAACCACTACAGGCTACGACCCTCACAGTGGCACCCCCCTCTCTGATCATGAAGCCCTGATGGCTACGCTGTGTGTGAGGCAAAGCCCCCCACAGCAGAACCCCAGCTCTACCCACGGTGAGTCACCCCCACCCTTTCCTGTGGCCCTTCCCCCAGTTGAAGCAGCCCTTCCACTCTGACTCTTTCCTGCCCTACTACCCTGCCCTGTTCTAGGTCCAGCAGAGAGGTTGCCCTTGATGCGTGTGCTAAGGGAGGCCTGGACGGAGCTGGGTCTGGGCATGTCTCAGGCTCGCTGGTGGGCTGACTTCGCTAGCTATGTGATTGGCCTGGGGCTGCTTCTCCTGGCATTGCTATGTGTCCTGGTGGCTGGAGGAGTGGCCAGGGAAGCTGCCATACTGCTCTGGACCCCCAGTGTAGGACTGGTGCTGTGGGCAGGTGCATTCTACCTTTTCCATGTGCAGGAGGCCAATGGCTTATATAGGGCCCAGGCTGAGCTCCAGCATGTGCTCGGAAGGGCACGGGAGGCCCAGGACCTGGGCCCAGAGCCTCAGCCAGCCCTACTCCTGGGGCAGCAGGAGTGGAACAATAAAGAACAATAAAGCTTGGCACTTAGTGGCTCTGCCTTTTTTCTTGTAGAGGCAATGGTGGGAGCCAGGGGTCAGTGTGACTGTCACACTATAGACCCGAAGGCTCCTACACATCTGCTGTCCCCATATACGCCCCCACCTCCCACCTGCACGCAGTGTGAGCCCTGTTTGTGGCAGAAACATTTTAATTATAAACAGCAAGGTTTATAAACAGGGGTGGCACTGTGTGGGGGTGAGGTGTTTTCCTTGTGGGAACTAAGGCAGACAGCCCACCCTCTTCTAGCCCTGGGCCCCTGTCCCCAAGGCCAGCTCACTGAGCCTGCGATCCTCCTGGAGGCGGATGAGGGCATCTCTCTGGTTGATCACATCCACTAGCTTCCTCAGGACCTGGTCCTCCGCCTGCCGATCAGCAGCTGTCTTTAGGGTTTCTGAAAGGAGACAAAGCTTAAAGAACAGGGAATTGGGCAGGGAGGCAGGAGTACCACAACCTAATCCCAGCCCATGTGATTTCTTTTCTTTTCTTTTTTTTGAGATAGTCTCACTCAGTCTCCAGGCACCACGCTGGAATGCAGTGGCGTGATCTCGGCTCACTGCAACCCCCGCCTCCCTGGTTCAAGCAATTCTCCTGCCTCAGCCTCCCGAGTAGCTGGGACTGCAGATGCGTGCCACCACACCCAGCTAATTTTTATATTTTAGTAAAGATGGGGTTTCACTATGTTGGCCAGGATGGTCTTGATCTCTTGACCTCATGATCTGCCAGCCTTGGCTTCCCAAAGTGCTGGGATTACAGGTGTGAGCCACCAGGTCCGGCCTCTGTGTGATTTCTATAACCCGGGCTTTGTTTCCTAAATGGCAAAATTGGGAGGGTTGCCAATACCAGTGCTTTTCTAGCACTACTGAGCAGCAGCAGTTTTTTTGAAGATCTTGTGTAAAAGCCAACTGTGCAGCTCTGATTGAACTGAAGGGAGAAGGGGGCTTTGGAGTCCCCTCCTCTGGCTTCCTCCTGAATTGTCTCAGAGGTACACAGACTAGAGGACTATGCTGCTTGGTCCGTATCGAAGATCACAAGGCTCGAGCGACATAGCCCTGGGATGCTTCTGCCTTTCCCCACAAACCACCTACCTTCCCGGTTCATGTAGCCTCGTAGCTCCTGGTCCAGCTGCCACTGTTTCTCCTCCAGGTTCAACTCCTGTACCCTGTGGAGGTCAAGGATTGCAGAAGCAGAGCTCTCTAGGGTGCCCGAGGGGCTGGAGCCTGGCCCATGGGCCACTGTCACCATCCCCTTCCCCTTACGTGATCATGAGCTCTGCCTCCTCAGCCACCAGGCTGTTTTTCTTCTGAACGAGCTGTAGCAGCTGTCCTACCCATAGCACCTTTTGCTCTTCTGGGGAACCTAATAAGAAGGAAGATGGGTGGGGTGGTCAGCCAGCGCCACAGAGTCATAGGCTCAGGGATGACAGGAGATTGGGGTTACAGGTATGTGTTAGCTGTGTGGTGCAGCCATTGGGACTAGGGGCTAGAGTCTGGCTGAACACAGTGCCAGGAGGCAGAGGGGTGTCCCAGCTTGTCACTCACTGCTCTGGCGCCTCAGGGCCAGTTCCAGCTTCACACCCTCAGCCTCTAGCTCCCTCAGGGCAGCCTCGATCTCGTGTAGTCGCCGTTGGATGGCCTGAGGGGTACAAGACAGGATACCCAGGAGTCTCTGGATTGCTCCAGAACAGAGCGCTGAAGGAGCTCTGATCTCAATCTCAGAACTCTGACCCCATTAGAACTTTGGGAACTCCTGGGCACCTGGGCCTTGCGGAACCTCTTCATCTGCTCCTCCTTCACGCGGCGCAGCAGAGTCCGACGCCACGTTGGGTAGTTATTCATGGTGCCTGAGGTCTTGGCCAAGGTTAGCAGGGCCTATGGGAGGGTCAGGCAGTCAGGGATAGGGCCTGGGCCCCCTGGTGGATAGGAGTGCTGTTTGGAAAGGCAGAAAAGAACCCACACTGAAAGTGGGGGAAGCTCTGGAAGAAAAGGTGGAGGCCTAGAGTGAGAAGACATTCCAAGAGAAGGTGCAGAGGACGGAGCGCGGTACAGGTTTCTCCTGTGGTGGGCTGGAGAGCGTTTCATGGATGCATGCTGGCTCACTCACCTCCACATCTGAGTCCAAAGGCACATCTTCTTCTTCCACTTCCTCTTCACTGGAGGAGGGACACTCTTCTTCCTCCTTCTCCATGGTCACAAGAACTGAGAATAAGAAGAACTAAGAAGTTCCGCTGCCTTTAGCACCTGTGCCAGTCAGGCAACAAAGAGCATGGTGGTGACGGAGCCTGCGAGTCTGGTAAAGACTTGAATGTGTGTGGGGGGCATGGGAGGAATTGAGAAGAATGGAGCAGACGAGAGGCTGCCATGGCCTGGGATCCCCACAACCTCCCTCTGTCTTCCCCAGAATTCTTCTGCAGGAAGCCAGTGCTCCCACCCCGTCCCACCCTGGGTCAGCACATCTGCGGGGATGGCAGTTACCTTGAGGGCTCTGGACTGGCAGGCCCCAACCCACAAAGCTGCTCTCCAGGGCCTGGCGGGCCAAGGCAGAGCAGCTGCGGGGGGGCTTGGGTGGAGGCTCCATTTCCGGGTCAGGGGTAATGTTAAGGGAAGATAGCCGCTGGCGTTCCAGGCTGGAGAGGCGGATCCGCCGACGGCTGGGCTGGCTGAGACCTGGAACAGGACTGGCCCCCTCCTGTGAGGCTGTGGGAGTTGAGAGGCCTGGAGGCATGCTATTCTCGCTTGGTGTGGGGAGCTCCTGGAAAAACCACCATGTGGTGCGGTCAGTGACCTGCCAGGGTAGGGGGAGGACACCCCTTTGGAGCAAAGGTGAGCCTTGGCATTCAAACAGTGCCGTTTACAAACAGTGCTTGGCTGTGTTCTAGATACTTGAGAGAGCAAGAAGTGTAAGTAGACAGGCATCCCCGCCTTCACAGAGCTTGCATCCTAGTAGAGGAAGACATTCAGTTACCCCCAGCAAGGCACCCTCCTCTTCCCCTGCCCCGGCACACACACACACACGCCTTCACAATTTTTACCGGGCTCTCAGGGCCTCTGTCACTGCCTTCCTCCTCAAGGTCTGGCTGGGGCAGGTGCTGGAGGCAGTAGAAGTGTCCTGGAAAGAATGGAGAGGGGAGGAGGCATCTGGTGTGGGCAGCCCGGCGCCCAGCCATGAAACAAGTTTACAAAGGAAGGTGGGGAAAACAAGACAGATTTGCAGGTGAATTTTTGCCAGCCTCCTGTTCTTAGAACCACACATCTGGAGCTTTGGAGGGGATAGAGAAGACCCTGAGCTCAGGAGAAGAAAGTGCCATTTTGAGCCTGTTTTCACCCTGTGCCCCTCTACCTCAGACTCTTTGTCCCTCAGGCAGGGCCAGGCCCATAGTCTCTCTGGAGGTCTTTCAGGCCCACTCACCATCTCCTGGGTGCTGCCCATAGCCACCTGGCCACAGCGTGGCTTCACAGGTATGGCAGCGGAAGCAGCTCCGGTGGAAGAAATGGCCGTTGACATAGACGCGTTCCAGGACATAGAGGTGTTCCCCACAAAGTGCACACAGGTCTTCGGCACCGGCCCGCATGGGCCCCTAGGACGTGGGGTCAAGGAGAGCCAAGGCCGGCTGCAAAGTTCTTTCCTTCCCATGAAACACCCCTGCCCTGCCCTCCCCAGGCCTCTGCCCGCACACAAGGCCCTGGTTCTCACCTCGTGGTGTTGGGATGGAGGTGTCAGGGGTACACCAGGCTCTGGTTCAGGTGGCACCTCAGTGCTTGGGGTCTCAGCCTCCATCTAAGGAAGTAAGTGCTCAGGCCGGGAGGGTAGAGGGTCAGGGCCAGCTGGGAGGGGACGCGTACAGATGAACAGGAGGGGCTGAAGGGAAGGGGAGTGAGACTAGGCAGGGAGGCTGGATCAGGGAGTTATAGGACCTGGAGTGGGGAGCAAGACATGGCAGGATGGAACAGAGGGAAGACAGAACCGGAAAAAGGGATAAAACCTAGGGGTGGGAGACCGACCCGCCCCTGCCTGAATATACCTCCAAGCGCAGCTTCTTGCCACCAACATCCTCCGCATTTTCCTGCAAGAAGTCCTAACAGCTCTGGGTGTGATGTTTTGAGCCCCCTGTCCTCCCTACTTTCTGAATGTCCTCACCATTACCCCAGGATCTCCACTGGGTACCCCTGCTCAGCTCCAACCCCGCCTTAACTCTCCACCTTGGCCCGGGATCGCTGCAGGGTCCTCTGAAGTTTGCCAAGGAATAATACAGCACTGGAGGTCCCTGGGGAGGCCTGGCTGACAGGGCCTGTGGGGAGAGCCAGGGCATCAGTGTGCATGGGGGTGCCAATGCTGTACCCCAGAACAGACAGCACTCTCCAACCCTGAAGGACACCTCTCCTAGGCTGGCTCTCAGAGGGCGCCTTCTCACTCTCTGCTACACACACTTCCCCATCCCCCCCCCACCTCCCCATCCCCCACATCCTGCCCGCCTTCCCTCCAGGTTACTTGGCCTGTGGGGCGTGCTCTTGAAGGCACTGTGGAAGTGGCTGAGGTAGGCAATGAGACCCAGTGGGTCGCTCCCTGCCACCACAGCCTGTGCAGACACCACCGGTGTGATGCCCAGCTCATGCTCTGCCATCTTTAGCGCCCAAGCAGTTGCTTCCAGAGCCTCCAGCCCCTGTAGCTCTGAGGGTTCCCTGTAGGGTGTCAGGGAGAAAAGCCAACTAGAGACAAAAACCTAGCCCCACTGAGGGGAGGAGGGCCAGCAGGAGGGGAGGGCCAGCAAGCAGCGGCTGGGGTACAAGAAGGCATGAAGGTAGGTGTGTAGTCTCTGCTACCCAGTGCCCAACCCAGTGATGCTGCTTCTGACTTTGAGGGCCTGTGCCATTCACAAAGCTCTCCCCTATCTGAATGCATTAGAATCTCACAAGACTGTCGGCAGGTGTAGGGAAGAATACTGGGACTGAACAGGATGTGCTAACTCCTACACAGAGATCACGAGAGGTGG